GGGGAGTGAATGTACAGCGCCCTCTCCCACCTTCAACACCACGACTGAGGTGCCCTTGAGCAAGGCACCGAACCCCCAACTGCTCCCCGGGCGCCGCAGCAAAAAATGGCTGCCCACTGCTCCGGGTGTGTGTTCACGGTGTGTGTGTGTTCACTACTGTGTGTGTGCACTTTGGATGGGATAAATGCAGAGCACTAATTCCGAGTATGGGTCACCATACTTGGCCACATGTCACATGTCACGTCACATCCATTGTTTTTCTTGCCCAGGGACATCTCTCCCTTGTGTGAGAGTGAGTGGTTGTGAGTTGTTAAAATTGTAACAGTTTTTCATGATTACTTTTTGAAAAGTAAGGCCGAGTAACTTTGTAATTTTGTTTCCCTGAAATGCAATATTGAGCTGCCAGAATGTGGTCAATCGGACCTCCACCAGCAGTGGCGATACACCGTTTAGAGTTTAGGGCACAGCAAGATCCAGTAAAACTTTTTACTAACCTGTATCCAATATTTTGCATCAACCTGGCAATATAATCTGCCTATGACTTGGTTTGTTTTATAACGGCACGCCAGCGAAATCTTCCACATGCGCAGTAAAAAATAAATGCCAAAAAACATTCTTTACGCAAGTATGCGAACGCAGATGCTTGGCGCTCGACCAATGCACATACGCTCTTGTAAATTTGATCTCACACTAACAAACCTCAGTACTCAGAGTGACCGAATTGAAATTTTAAATGTATCTGACATTAAGCTTAAAGGGATAGTTCACCTTCAGTTGCTGGTCCCCACTGACTTCCATAGTATGGAGATTAAAAAAAAACAAAAAAAACACTATGCAAGTCAATTGGGACCAGCAACTGAAGGTGAACTATCCCTTTAATGTTTTAATATTCAGGCTTGCAAGTTGCTATTAACGTTAGAATGAGATTCTCTTTTAATTGTTGCTGAGGCATGACAGTAGTTGATCCATAAGAAATTTACGCTATTTTGCCGCTGTAGCTGAGAGTTGTGTTGAATTTCGGAATCGTGCCTGCGTTCAGGTATTTGCGTAACCGAACATGAGGCTGCAGTTTGGCCACAGAGTTAGTCTTGAGTTACATATTCAAAGAATGGCACGTTAACCACTACTACGCTAAACGTAGTACGCAGAAACGTCAAAGCCATTCTGTGTTTTTAGATGGACATGTTATGATTGGACAAATCCAAACAGATCACTATGTAAGACTTACAGAAACAAAATCATTCATATCATATATTGATGAAAGGTTTCATAACTGTTCTTGGCAGCCTAGTGACATTCTCCCATAGTGTACTAATATCATTTATTAAGTTTCCATGTTCTTATCTGCACTTGAAAATAGAATGTAGCCCAATCCTCTGCTGGCCTGCTGATTGCCTGCTGTGTGCCGTCTCTATTGTCATGATGTGAATGCTATGCTGTTAACTGTCTGGCACCATCTTAAGACAGGGCTTGAATTTGAACAAAACCCCCCTTATCTGCATATGTACTGTATTGCTGTTTTCTTTCTTTTTGGAAAATTTTTGTGAAAGTTCTCTGCATTTTAACTAATTATGGGAATTAAAATTACAAAGAATAACAATCTGCCGATCTCCTGTTTTAATTTGGTGATTGATGTTTTAAAGTTGAAGATGTGGGTTTTTCTTTGGATTTTTTTTTTAACTTTTTCCACAACACAGCAACCAATGGTGTGAGTTTGTGGTGGGACTGTTTGGCCAACCATTGGAAGATGTGAAAAAGTGTAAAATCTATTGGAAAAAAACATTAGAAATACCGTATGCACAGATATATGTGACCCTGGACCACAAAACCAGTCATAAGGGTCAATCATGACTGAATAAATAAGCTTTCCATTGATGTATGGTTTGTTAGGATAGGACATTATTTGGCCGAGATACAACTATTTGAACATATGGAATCTGAGGGTGCAAAAAAATCAAAATGTTGAGAAAATCGCCTTTAAAGTTGTCCAAATGAAGTTCTTAGCAATGCATATTTTTGCATTGATTTTTGGCATAAAAGAAAAATCAATAATTTTGACCCATACAATGTTTTTTTGGCTATTGCTACAAATATACCCCAGCGATTTAAGACTGGTTTTGTGGTCCAGGGTCACGTGTGACAGGCATTAAAACATTTTCTGCCAAAAGTTTAAAAATTTTTTAGACAACATGGAAAAAATCACTTCCGTTACACACTTCTATTAATTATTTAATAAAGTAATGACAATAAACTAAACACTATGCAGACTAAAGTTATTAAACGACAATTAAAAGACAAAGACAACAATTAAAAGACAGCCTTCTCTCTTGCTCAATGCTTTGAGTAACATTAAATAAAACATTTTAGTTTCATATTTACAGAGCGCCTGCAGAGATAGTTATGGGTAAGACTAGTTGGGAGGCAAGAAAAAAAATATTTGCACATTTTCATAAGAGACTTGCACAATTTCTCGAACAAAATGTAGCTTTAAATGTATTCGTCAAAAGGATTAAAAGATTTAATATGGAATAGTTAACAGAAATGCAGGAAATCAAATATGAGAGCGCACAGATGTCTCGCAAAAACAAATTTGAAGAACTTTTTTTTTTTTTTTTGTTGCAGAGAGAGAACACAAAGTTTTATAAGGGAAGAAAAAAGATTTCATCATGTGCCCTCAAGGCTCCAATCACATCCTATCTGAGATCTCAGATGTTTTTCTACCAACTTATCCTCATTCTAGAGATATAACAAAGAGTGAAAAATTGAAGGGGGTCTGAATACTTTCCGTACCCACTGTATATATATATATATTTAAATGATTTTAAATAAAAATCATTATTTTAAGTCAAGGTAAAACATTGCACCACCAGCATAAACAATAAAACAGAATTCAATCATTCACACTGTTGTATTAGTTTGTCATTTTTATATTTAAAAAAAAGCATTATTAAATAAGATTTGTAAACAGTTCAAAAGTTTGGGGTCATTAAGAATAAAATGAACACTTTTATACAGCAAGGAGAGGACACATTCAATTAGGGGTGGGCCATATGGCAAAAATATATCACAAATTTTTTTTTTCAGGAAAATCACGATTCTTTGTCATGATGGTTTTACTATTTTGCAACTTGTATGAGCGGTACAGCCCAATTAATTTCCCGATTTTAAAAACAAAACCTTTCAAGGTAACAAAATATCAAATAAAAAAGAATGACAGATGGCCAAAGTGGGTGAAGATAAAAATCGTTGTCATTATTTGATCATTGTTATTAAAAAATAAGAACAAAAATACCCATTACAAACATAATATACAAATAAAACAAACAGTGCTTTATTTGTCAAGTAGAGAAGGTGTATTTAGCAGTAACATTCAAGAAATTTTATCAACAATTTAAAAAAATCACTATAAACACTTCACTGTATAAATTATACATTGACTCTTATTAAAGCAACTGTATTAAAGTTCTTCAGTCGAGCAGTGAGTGATTTTTCTCTGTTTTTATGTTTTATTAACATTAAAGCAATAGTTCACCTAAAAATTCTGATATTTACTCGCTCTCAAGTTGTTTTAAACCTGAGTGAGTTTCTTTCTTCTGTTGAACAAAAGTTATATTGAAGAATGTGGGTAACCAAACAGTTGCTGGTCCCCAGTGAACAGAAATGCAGGAAATCAAATATGAGAGCGCACAGATGTCTCGCAAAAACAAATTTGAAGAACTTTTTTTTTTTTTTTTGTTGCAGAGAGAGAACACAAAGTTTTATAAGGGAAGAAAAAAGATTTCATCATGTGCCCTCAAGGCTCCAATCACATCCTATCTGAGATCTCAGATGTTTTTCTACCAACTTATCCTCATTCTAGAGGTCAATACTTTAGATTTCTGGTGGAATACAGAATCATAGCTTCAGGTAATAAAACAACATTCTCAAAAGGTCCCCAGTATTCACATTCATTCATGCCAAACATCTTCAAAATCATTAAATAAAAAGTAAAAAGATATCCTCTACCAGTGCTCTTTATGACATCCATGAGCCTTGACCATCTCAGGCGTTAGAGTTTGTGTTCTGGAGGGTCTGTGATCTGCGACGTTACGAACATGACTAATGCTGCCCGGGTTGGGAGCGTCTGAGTTCTCCACCCGTACCTCGCTCTGACTACAGAGCCTCAGAGCCTGAGAGATAAACACATCCAGGTCAAAATGTTCTTCTCCGGAAGGATCCATCTGTGAAGGCTCTTCATCATTTTCACAACGAATGGAGGAAGACAGGTAATCGGATGAACTGTGCTGAGGAGAGGAAGGTGAAGTGGGCAGCAGAGAAGGAGGAGCGGAGAAGAATGGGTTAGGACTCCTCCTGCTGTCGTGAGGGCTGGTCAGTTGCAAAGCCCCTGGGATTTGAGGAGGGGAACACGGGGAGGTGAGTGGTTCTTGAGGAGAACCAGGCGAGTGGAGACCAGACTGTGTGCTCTCCACCCAGCGTGAGATCTCCTGGAACAGATCTCCGGGCTCGGCGAGAAGCTTCTCCACGCTGCCCCCTCTTGGAGCAGACATGCTGTTATGCCTCCAGTGAGACAGGTCCAGTATTAGCTTGGGTTCAGAGTAGTGCTGCGGCTTTCCTTCCCGCCACGCGATCTTATCCAGGTAGGACGGAGAGCCCACTTTGTAATCGCAGGAGCGGCCGCAGTCCAGCTCCGTGAACTGGCTGCAGACGCGCTCCAGAGACGAGTGGGATTGGTCTTGCAGAAGAATGGAGCTGCGTTGGGAGTGTTTGATAGTATTTTGGGTGCTGTCATCATATCGCTACACCGAAGAATGGGTTAGGACTCCTCCTGCTGTCGTGAGGGCTGGTCAGTTGCAAAGCCCCTGGGATTTGAGGAGGGGAACACGGGGAGGTGAGTGGTTCTTGAGGAGAACCAGGCGAGTGGAGACCAGACTGTGTGCTCTCCACCCAGCGTGAGATCTCCTGGAACAGATCTCCGGGCTCGGCGAGAAGCTTCTCCACGCTGCCCCCTCTTGGAGCAGACATGCTGTTATGCCTCCAGTGAGACAGGTCCAGTATTAGCTTGGGTTCAGAGTAGTGCTGCGGCTTTCCTTCCCGCCACGCGATCTTATCCAGGTAGGACGGAGAGCCCACTTTGTAATCGCAGGAGCGGCCGCAGTCCAGCTCCGTGAACTGGCTGCAGACGCGCTCCAGAGACGAGTGGGATTGGTCCAGGAAGCGCTCTGCGGAGCTGCTGTGGGAGTATTTGCGAGGGTCTACCTGAGCCTCCTCGATGTGGGCTGTTGAACTCGCTCGTGGATCTCTTTGAACTTCTTCGTCTTCCGCCTCTCCCAGTTCAGAGATGCTCTGCATGCAGCCACACTGCTCCTGCTGCGCCCAATAAACGTCTGACGACAGACTCCCATCATACCTGAAAGAGAAACATGTATATACAGTTTTATGCATATGCATATGAACATTTGTTTGGCATACAAAGTATAAAATGATGCATATCAGCAGTTCGTCACTGCGTTATTTTAAATATATACAGTGGGTACGGAAAGTATTCAGACCCCCTTCAATTTTTCACTCTTTGTTATATTGCAGCCATTTGCTAAAATCATTTGTTAATTTTTTTTCCACAAAGCTTGAGATACTATTTTAACCTGGTGAAATGTAAATGACACTGCGCATGAAACTATATTAGTTTCTTTTTTTTCTTTTTTTATCCATCTGGACCATAGAACGGGACTCTCAAAGCCTTGACATCTGGGTATCCGGTAGACAAGTCGGTAAATTCGAGTAAAATCACAGGCTTCGCTTATCCCGTGCGAATGCACCACATGAAATTCAGAGGTGGGGGGTTAATTTCAAAATCACACAAGGTCTCCAGATAATACTAATCCCGTGCGAATAGGGCTTTAGTCTATTAAACTGTTTTCTTAGGCTATCAAATATTTCAACTTCAATCCAGACCAATGTAAGCGCATTACTTTAAGCACAAATGTTATGTTTGCAAACAAAGAAAAGAGTCAAACTAGTGGTAATGAAGACCATCTGTGGCATAGACATTAATTTCTCTTCGACAGCAGCATTTATGCAGTTAGTCAAAACGTTTCAAAAGTTCAATTCTGTTCCTGATCTTTGGTCTCAGCTAACAAGTTTGTTCACCTTCCACTGCTGGCTCTGATCAGTAATGAAAGAGCTTCTGTCAGATGTGCATATATGGACACACAGAGGACAACAATGACATTCTTATTAAGTTGTCACAGAGTCCTCTATGAGTTCTAATTATGCAGAGGTTTAATAAGTTTCTATATTTGAACAGCATTCTACGTCACGGATAGGTCCTCTGGGCGCTTCAGTACCCAGCTGTGGAAATTGCCTTTTACATGACCCTTGTTTTCACTGTTCCAGCGTTCATGTACCCACAAACTTTTAACGATCAAACTTTCATCATTAAAGAAGTATCAAAGAATGAATGCAGACTTTAATTCGCTCTCCAAAATTGGTTTCATTATGCTCTAGTACTCAAGTACTGCATTTTTATTGGGTCCACAAATCCCAGCACAAACCGCTTTTGTTTGCTATTTTAAGTTTTATTATTATTATTATTATACTTTTTTTTTTAAATGTTCCTTTCTGGCACTCAACCCACAGGGTAACAAACCTGTTTCTTAGCTTTTCAAACACATATATGATGGTAAAATGCTTAATAATAACAATAAAATTTGGGCTTTGTACTGTACATAATTTGGAGAAAACCACTGTTCAGTGGAGGACACTTTTTTTTTTTATAATATTCACATTTGTTATCGAGTAAACTTCATTTCAAAGTCATATAAATATTATTATATTTATTATAAATCACATAAATATTATTTTAGTATTTTTATTTGTTATGAGAAATATGTTCGTTGCCAAGAAGCAACATTGTGTGCCAGTGAAATGGTTGCAGTGAATGCAGACACTGTAGAACATATATTGCTATTATTATACAGAAAATTCAGCTTTGCCATCACAGAAGTAAATTACATTTTAAAATATATTGTCTTTTCACAATTTTAAATTGTAATACTTCACAGACCCTACTGTTTTTACTTGTATTTTCTGTTTTCTGATCAAATAAGTTATTTAAAAAAATATATATAAAAAACAATCTTACGGTAGTGTCTAAATAATTTTATTGAAGTTATTATTTATGATTTTTGGTCCATGCAAGAAATAACAAATTTTTTAAACATTTCTTTCATAATACGTGCAATAGAGGGTTAAGTAATCCAAAGATTAAAGATGGTAGAAATGTGGATTGTACTTTATTTGAAAATGTATTAAGACATTAAATAAATTAAATACATTTAATTTATGAACTAAACAATTACGTTTTCTCTGCTATATAGATTATGTTCTTTATAAAAGAATGTATAGAGATTGAATTCTTTATAAAAGAGCAAGAGTGTTTTTTATATACCGTCATAGATCTGTGTCAGCAGCACTGGAACTGTGCGTGCCAGAAAAACTGTAACAAATTACATCATCTGGAGAGAAAAGCTTGAACTCTGGGTGTCGGTAAGTCAGAGTGCCTCGTGTGACATGCGAGCAATGTACCTGTCCCAGTGGGAGCTGAGCGCATGACCGTGCTCGGTGACCTGACTGTCCTCTAGCTCGTCCTCTATGCGAAAAGGCTGCAGGGAGACAGGCTCATCCTGAGGACACGAGTATCTCTGCAGGTATGGGTGAGACAAAGCCGCTTCTGCTGTCAGCCGGTCCATGGGATTAAAGGTGAGGATACACTCCAGAAAATCAATGGCTGAAATGTGGAGACAGTGAATAATGCAGTTGATGTATCACAGTATCACATATTTAAAAAAATATGCTCAGCTTACCTTTGTCCTCCACCTCTGGCAATAGTTTTCTGAGTGACTGCTTGACCTTCCACCCTTGACCTACAAAAGAGGGCATGACCTTCAGCAGTTCCTGTCGGTCCTCTTCTCTAATAACAGGAACAGTGTCCAAAATTAGCTGCATCTGCTCCAGTTCATGAGCACCTTAGAGAAGAGAATCAAACAGACAGGCTTCGTAACTTTGTCTGGCTCCAGACTGTGACAAGTCAAGGATCTTACAAGTTTAATAATGAGAACTGTATGTTATACCAAGCTTGTGTAGAAAGGCAAGAAAAATGTCTTAACTATTTTAAAATTGTTAAAAGTTTAGTATTTAAAACTTTTAAAGGGGTCATATGATGCTGCTAAAAAATATATATATTTTGTGTATTTGGTGTAATGAAATGTGTTTATGCGGTTTAAGGTTAAAAAAACACATTATTTTCTACATACTGTACATTATTGTTTCTCCTCTATGCCCCGCCTTTCTGAAACGTGTCGATTTTTACAAAGCTCATCAGTCCGAAAAGCGAGGTGTGCTCTGATTGGCCAGCTATCCAGTGCGTTGTGATTGGCCGAATACCTCAAGCGTGTGACGGAAATGTTACGCCCCTTACCATATTGTGATGCCTTGTCCCGGCACGACGAGACAAAAACATTAAAAGCCATTATAAACAGTATTGTAAATACAACTTAACCACTGATTTCTAGTCGTGTCCTCTTTTGGAAGACCAAACAAAGTATTTTAGCTTTCACAATGAAACCGCGTCACACACCGCGGCCTTGCGTGAGCGGAGGCCTAAATAAAAGTTACGCCTTCTTTCTTTGCGTGAACATTTGGGCAGTGTTATGGAAATCTTCCCACATCGTGACGTAGACATGTGGGGGCGTGTTAGAACGAGCCGTTTTAGGTAGGCGTGGTTGACTCTTAACTTTGATAAAGAATATCTCTTTGGATTTGAGACTTTAGTCTTTGCAACTTTACAGATCTTCTTTATGCACCAAGAGCTTGTAACACTCCAAAGAGAAAGGAAAAAATGAAATCGCATCATATGACCCCTTTAAATACTAAACTCGATTGATATGTCTGGCCTAAACGTCTATTTTTACTTTACCACCAATAGCCACTAGAGGACGCTCTAAGACTACGTCTGCATAATGAAGATTGATGTTCTTGTTTCTCAAGTGAACCGCAAGATATATACAAAACCAATAGAGCAACAGAAACACTAATGACGACCCTTTGCTCATTACTGAGCGCTGTTCTAGTCTTACCTGCAAACAGCATGCGGCCTGTGAGCATCTCAGCCAGAATGCAGCCTGCGGCCCACATATCAATTGCTTTAGTGTAGTTATTTGGAGACAGCAGCAGTCTTGGTGAACGGTACCATTTAGTGACCATTCCCTCTGACAGATATCCCTGCAGAGAAAACATAAAATGTCATTCATATACAACATACACAACTATTAAATGGTGTACTTAACATGATAATAGCCATTTTTATTGTCGTTTTTTGAGGTTGACAGCCTGAAAAAACAACTTATATATATATATATATATATACACACACACACACACACACACACACACACACACACAAGTCCTCAATTGCACAGCAAGTTACTTTGATTAAAAGCAAATGAATAAACCTAATAAAACAATAAATAAACCTAATATAAATATATATTATACTGTTTTACTGTATTTACAAATTAATGTAGCCATTTTATTTCAATTCAAATGAACCGTTTTCACTTTGTGTATTTTAAAATGTTATTATTCCTGTGCTGGCAAAACGGATTTTTTCATGATCCTTCAGAAATCATTCTAATATTCTGATTTGATACTCAAGAAACTTTTTTTTTTTTTTTTTCAATTTTGTGTGCTTAATATTTTTGTGAAAACCATGATACATTTTTTTCAGGATTCTTTGACGAATAAAAAGTTCAAAAGAACAGCATCTATTTGAAAATGAAACCTTTTGTACCATTATAAATGTTTTATTGTCACTTTTGATCAATTTAAATTTGTAAATGCAAATGTGGTGTATAATATAAATCTAAAAAGTAGGGTGTAAAAAAGCTATGTGACTCAGCATCAATGTAAAATCTGATAAGAAGCTGCTGATGTACAGTAACCCTATGACTCCCAATACCCCCCTCCTACAATCTCCTTCAGCTCATCCTGCCGTCCTTCATCCTTTCCTCTTCTTTCTCACCTCCCACTCTTCCCCTGGGCCCAGGTGATGAATTATTTGTGAGATTTTAGCAGGCAGCCTCAGTACGTAGGGTGGATCTGAAGGGTGATGGTGACACAAACGAGAATGATATTTTCATATCCTGCTTACAAAGAGAGCCTTTGTCTTCTCACTGGAGCTGATTCACTAAGACCTTTGAAACTGTTCACAAACCAGACGAACAAAGACTGAAAATGAGCAATAATAAGAAAAAAATAATGGCATAGATCAGGCATCTTGACCAACGAATGTCTGTGCCGCTGGTTTCGTGCTGTCAAGAACTGTCAGTGCAGCTTACACACTGAGAAGGACTTGAAAATGAGGATTTTCTGCTGCCAACATCTCACATTTCACTGGCCAAAAATCCACAAATATAATACATTTACATATTTTTAGAAAGTATAACTTTAATATTTTATATTAATAGAGTTATTTTCATTTAATTATATTTATATACAAATATAATTGTATTATATATGCACAAAAATCCTGTAATGTACCGGTTACCAATAATACTTTATAGTAACTGAGCACCAAATCAGCATATTAGAAATGATCATGTGACACCGCAGATATATTATATTTAAAAAATATATAACATATATTAAAATAATTTTAAAAATGTTATTTTAAATTGTAATAATATTTTTAATCAAGTAAATGCAGCCTTGGTGACCTTAAGAGATGCCTTTCTAAAACATTAAAAAAATTTAAATGAATTATGAAAATTATGAATTTGAATTATTCCAAACTTTTAACGGTAATGTAATATTTAAATATGTGTATTCATTTGTTTTTCAATTTTCCAAAACAATCTTACATTAAATCTGTTACAAAGGCAATCATAAGTCCTTAAGAACTATAATTAAGCAATATAATAAAGCTTACAGTATGTTTGTCTCTTATAATCTATGGAGTACCTATTTAAAATAGCTGCTTACGCTGGTCAAGCCATCATAAATGAGCTACTGAACAGGACAATGGGCCAACTGGTTGCTTATTTAAATTATAGATGACATTCAGAGTCCACATCATCTTTATTCTCCATGTAGTATTGAAGGAGTATAACCATCTGTGGCTCTCTCAGTCCCCTGCCTGCACTGCTAGCATATGTGGATCCAGATGCTTCTGTGAATCCATAGTCCACTTATCTGTGATCCTCTAGATTTGGGAACTGAATGTTCCCTCCATGCTGAGAGGGGAACAGACGCGTTCAGTACTGAGTGGCAGAGTTGCAGGAACTCGCTCAGTGAATGGGTGAAAGGAACTACTGCCCTTAATTCACTGAAGCTCACTGCATACTCAGAGGTGCAATGACATACTAATGATTCTTTAGACTAACACAACCAGGAGTATCGTGCACCTATATTCTAAAGGGGGCACAGGTGGCAGCCCAGGCTCACTTGGTATCCTTGGTAAATAAGACCAAAAAAAATAAGGCTATTTTTCTCATAAGGGTATTTACTGTATATAAGGAATGGGATAGACAAAAGTTAAACCACACTTCAAATGTATGAATTTCATTGCATTACATTAAAAAAATATATCAATCCAAGTGGTATCTGGGGGGGGGAAATGCTACAGCAGATATACAAATATTAATAAGCACGACCGTTTTCAACATGGATAATAATACGAGAGTTTTTTGAGCAGCAAATAAGCATATTAGAAGGATTTCTGAAGGATCATGTGATACTGAAGACTGGAGTAATGGCTGGTGAAAATTCAGCTAACATTTTTAAATTTATTACAATAGAAAATTTTGAATTGTAATAATATTTAACAACGCTATTATATTGTAAGTTAGTTTATTATGTACTTTGCTGTTTTTGTAGCGAGATCTGGCAACACACAGGTATCCTATCAGCACATATCCCGCTAATTGTTCCTAATCAGAAAATATCTGCTGAATTACATCTTAATCATTTTGTACAATATGTCTATTGTTTTCTAGTTAAACATACCAAAAATTTTTTAAAATAAATAAAACCTTTGTTGCCTAAAATTTCTTCTTCTAAATGTTTGTGCAATAAGTGTGGCTAAAGTGTCCAAACACTTTTTGAAGCCGCTGAAGAGAGAGCAGCTTTGACATTTTGATAATATATAAATATTTTGAGTGACATGAGAGCACAGGGATGCTGCTCGCACTGAGTCTGCAATCTCAGCTATCTTCCTATCAGTGCATGGCATTTTAAACAGGGCTCCCAAAAGAGTAGTCCTACTATAATTTCCTGGGCAGTTTTTATTCTAGCTGTTCCTTCCATCACAAACTGTGACTATCCCCCTTCCCTGATCATTCACCCCACCTTGTCCTGTCTCACACAAAGCTCTCCATTCATGTTATCCTCCCGGTCTGCTAGTGTTACACAGTGAGCTCTGCTAAATAATACAGAAGCACAATGAGACAGTAAAGAGCCACATTAATCTTTCAGCTCCCATAACATCAAGATAACTGTTCATAATTATTGTGTAACGGAATAGTATAATGTTTGAAAACATCTATGTGCAATGCAGTATGAAGTAACTATAGATTGTAGTTGTTATTATATTAATGTAAGGTCACCAGGATCAATCAGGCAATAATATCTGCATAAACATATCTGCACTGTGCCCAAAAAATGTTTCTATAAACTCCAAAGAATCATTATCAATCAACAGGTTGAAGTGCATTATTTGATGTACAAAACAGAAGAATTGTAAGCAAGAAGATTTTGTGCAAGATAGAAACACAATAACAGGTCAACAAAGAATTTTCTAATTGAACTTTAGATATAGACTACTTTAAAATGACTTACAGATGCAGGAAGCGTTTAAGCGTTTACAGGAAGCGTTTAAACCTCATGTAGTATAGCAGATACTACTGCTTAAAGGGATAGTTCACCCAGAAAATGAAATAAAAAAACTGTGTCTACATTTTCTCTTGATAATTAAACAGTTTCAGTTCCCAATGATTCCATTGTATGGACAAAAATTACAATGAAAGTCAGTGGGAACTGAAACAGTTCATAGAGGAAGGAAATCAGTAATACAGCCTTGGAACGACAGACTTATTTGGTTGAACTATCCCTTTAAGTTTCATTTGTAGCTGCCATCAGAAAGATTGATTAAAAGGAGATAATATAAAGTACTTCTGTTCCTAAGGAGGTTACGTTGAAGATGAAGCTGTAAATGGATTAATATGTCATTATATTAACAGCCAGCAGCTCATGATAATTGATAGGAAATGTGATTCTGCTAATCAAGGCCAGATTGTAACTGCAGGGTGAACCACAGTGAAAGCTCATAAGGCAGTACATACTATATGACAGTACTATACTACGAACATCTACAGGTCCCCAAAATGAACTAAAATAACCAGTTCTTCAAGGTATTATTCAGTGTGAACCACACTCTTACAAAAAGTAGTGGCGGTGCCATTACACTATGGCCGTATCAGATTGTAATACCCTTGTACTTTCATATATACTTGGTAACCTAATGATTCCCCTGATATTTACAATGTACTTCAAAGAATACCCTGGTACATTTCCATAGATATAGTATTGCCATGGTACATATACAAAAAACATTCAACCAAAACTACATAGTGTAATTCAAGACTACAGAGTAAATAATAAACATCTCGATAAATAATAATAATAAACATCTCGATCAGCTTTGATAGGATCAATACTGACTTTTTTGACCAACGCCAATACAAATTATTTTTATGTTTAATGACCAATAACTAATGCAGAACTGATTTGTAATTATTGTTATATGTCTAATTTTTGATAAAAAAAGAATGTATAACTCAATTATCTTCAAACCACAACAATAAAAACATAATATGAATTGATTAGTATTATTTTTTGGTTTCTTTTTTTGCAAAGTTGCTGTCTTGATCTGAAGATCTTAATTTATAAACTTTTTTTGGCAATGTCTAATTGTTCAGGTAATCATTATCATGTGATCATGCGATTATTTGTTATATTTTCTTGCAAAGTTGCTATTTCTATCTAAGCAAATTTATATTAGTTTTGGGGTAATGTCTAATATCTAATTATTATTTGATAAGTGTTATAAATAATATATACATATAAGTATTTATATACTTATATAAATATAAAATGAATACAGGTGACCATTTATCAATAGACCTGTTACTACAGCACTAATAACCAATAAAGTTGGAATACTGATAACAGATCTCAGTCATATACATCCATTAGGAACCACTGTACTATTTCTGTACCTATGTAGATGTCCGTTATTCTTTCTAGTGAGTGAAGCAGTACGTGCTGCAGTGACACCTGCCCTGCTGCTGTGACTCTTACCTTGTGTGAGTAATGTGGGTCCACAATGCGAGCCAGGCCGAAGTCTCCGATCTTCAGCAGCATTTGCTCTGTGTTGATAAAGATGTTCGCTGGCTTGAGGTCACGGTGCAGTATGTTGGCTGAGTGGATGAACTTGAGCCCACGAAGCAGCTGATAAAAGAGCAGGGTGGCGTGTTCTGCTGGCAACGGCCCTTGCTCCAGTAACCGTGCCAGGTCAGTTTCCATACACTCTTGCACAATGTATATTGCTGACACATGGGTCAGGTCACGCGGTAAAGGGTGACCGGATGGCCCCAACACGTCATACACCCTGACAATGTTCTCATGCTGCAGGTGGCGGGTGATCTTCACTTCTCTCAGAGCGTGTTTTATGCTGACGGCATCTTGCATGACCAGCTTCTTAACCGCCACACACAGGCCGCTGCGCCTGTCCACCGCAGAGAGGACGAGGCCGGATGCTCCCGTGCCAAGAGGACGCAGATCCTGGTAATGTCCCCCCAGGTCAAAGCCATATCGGAATGGGGATGTATTCTGCCAGGCCATGGCTTAGAGAGGAGCAATTGGGCACTGCCTGTGAGAGGCTGCAGAGAGTGAGGAGAACGATAAATGACCAAATAATGCAATATTCTATTACAAAGCTATAAAAAACACCAGATTATTTTTTATTACAATCTACAATTCAAACTACAGCTGCATGAAGCAAAAATTAACCCTTCTTCTTGAAAAGAGCGATCTTAAATCACATTTGCGCACTATCAAAGCAATGGGGGCACGGTACTGGGTGGAATACAGCTCAACACCCTAGTACAGGGCAAGTGTTTCCATAGCAACATCCCACACTGCTGCACACAGCAAACACTCTGAAACGCATTCTCCCAGGATTCTCTACCCTAAAAACACTCCATGATATATTCAAACTCAATTACACTGCTGCACTGGAGTTGGAGGTTCTCTGATGTCTGACTTTAACGTTAGCAGCAGGTGAGTTTCATTTATAATCTAAGAGCTTTCACTTGCCGTCTCCGGCTCCAGGCTGTCCTGTACCCTCCATGCTCCTCACGCAGCTATGTGTCATGCTTCTCATGCATTCCCTTCAGTGGAGAAAAAGAAAGAGAGAGACAGAAATCAGATATGCAGTTAGTTACTGATTACAATAAAAGCATGAATAGTTTAAAAATACCACCAAATGCACATTTTTACAGTTCATAGTTTTTCAAATGTTTCAGCTTGGTGATTTTCTACATTATTAAATAAATATGCATCTAGTGTTATTCCACTAGACTTAATAGTCTCATATCACTTATATATATCACATATCACAAGTATTTCTTGTTTTCCAACTCAGTTCTTTAAGATGAACTCCTTCGCCTTTAGCTGGCTCTTAGAGCGCAACAGTGCCCACACACTTTTTCAGCGGCCCTTGATCTGGAAGTTTTCTCCCATTAATTTTTCACATAGGGATTTAAAAAAAGTCTTTGTTAAGGCATTATAATCCATTAACCAAACCAACTCCTTTGCCTTTGAGCGAATCAAAAAATTACACACTTTGATTTGAAGCAAAAAAACATTTGAAAATTAGAACACAAAAACACAAAGGTACAAGACAGGAAAGAACTACAATCCCATAAAGCATTGCAAATGACAATCAAATTAAAAAGATGGAGAAATATAAAATATAAAACTATTTCTTTAAAGATGTTGATTGCATATATAAAAACAACATATTTTATGTTATATATATATATATATATATATATATATATATACATATATACATATAAACAAATATTAAGGTATTTTGAGAGCATAGGGAGACTAACTCAATTCTGTCATTCGCAGTGCCTCATGGGAGTGGGTGGGCACTATAGAGTTATTTTGGCACAACTTGCTTGTATTAGTTTCTGACTGGTGGAGATTACTTTACAGAATCATGGGTAATCTATTTTTTTCATGCCGCTGTTGAACACGATTATTTAAAAAAATAATTTCCGAAAAATAAAATCGGCAAAATAAATTGGTCTTATGGCTTCAACAAAAGCACATAGTAGTCTTTAATGCCTTTAAACAATAGGACTGTGTTTAAAGTTTAATAAGTTACCATTAAAATCAATTCCACTATGGAGAAAATTAATGGAATTTTTACTTCCGGAGCTTCTCCACAACCAATTATTTTTTTCTCATTCTACACACCTCCATGTAGTAGACATTAGCCATTGCTTGTTTAGTTTAGATGTAGGCTACCTGTATTGTTTATGCTTTGTAAAGAATTAAAAATATTATAAAGTTAACATTATTAGTATTAGTAGGCTATTATTATTACTACATATACTCCTCTCTAGAGCATATCAGATAGCCGGCCAATTCCAGTGCCACAACTTGAAGACATATGAGTTTTTAGTTCTTTAAAAATTAAGTATTTCTATTTGTATAACACCACAGGTCATGTGATGTCACATGGCAGCACCCATGAGGGGATGGACCCGTTCCTGTGTAAAATAAAAAAAGCTTTCCTTGAACCCTGGTAAGTTTTGAGTACCTATCTCATATGATAATTTTGATTTAAATAAATTACTGAGTGCACGGAAAAATCTAACAGAAACTAACGGACCAGACTGGGTGAGCCAAACTTGATAAATAATGCATATGACTATGGCGCTGACCGTGCAAGCGGATGCAATTTATTGTTGAACGTTAGAACAAAATGTATACATTTATTACACTAAATGATTTTATTGTTCATATTTATGCACAACGTTTGGTGAGGTAAAATAAAAACGGAGAACTTGTGAACCTGTGAACGAAGGCAAGAAAGCACAAATGAAGCTGTGGGTCCAGTTGAACACACAATAGGCAGCGCTGCATTCATTCGCCTTTGTGTGACTATAGTAGCCTAACGCCTGTATTTGGTTCTGAAATTGAACGGATGCATACAGAAACCCGTGCGCATTATACAGAATAACAGCAGTTTCACTCGCAAGTCTATTCAGAAGTGACAAAAGAGCCTATACACATATGAAACATAGTATAAAATCAACACTATCTTCTTATCTTCCGGCCCATCCGCGGAGAAAACTACAAAGGCAGCGATGCTCCAGGATCTCTTACCGTCGCCTGCTTTTGTCAGCTGCTCCACGGATTTGCTCTATTTGTGTTGGAAAAAAGAAAAACGAAACATAGTTTTCCATGGGGAAAGTGATGTTTTCGTAGTTCAGAGTTTGTTATTGAATCTTGGCACTGGTGCAGTCCGGTAGATGGAGGTTTTAGTCAGTCAGTTTGCTGCTGCTGCTGCCATGAGCAATTTTCCGTGTGTTATCAGAGAATGATATTAGATCTTACCCGCGATAGCGTCACCGGGAGAAACCGCCGAGAGAGCGTTCGTTTGAGACACACGGCATCTGTTCGTTTCCCAGTGTCCCTCTTCCACTGTGGATCTACAAGCTTTTCTTTGGCAAAACTCGTTGGTGCCCCCTTGATGACACTGCTTAACACTAAAAATTAAGGGGCAGTTTGTTCATTTTTAAGGGTGTCAGATGGTTTCTACAATTCAGGGATTCAGTACATTTTGTGTTTGCATTATAAATGTGGGCCAACAGAGCATTTCTGATAATTAGAGTTCAGGGCTTACTTTCATATCGTCATAAATGTGTCAGCATGAGACAGATAACAACTGAAGTCTATACCCAAAATTTGTCTAAATTCACGTGTGTATTTCCTCCGAAATGGAGTTGATAAACAACAGTCATTTGAGGATAATTATTAACATGCATTTTTGTAATCTAGAAAAATTTCGAAATATACTCAGACCAGTTTATTTCCATAATTTAATATCCTTCTGTTGAGCTAAATTCTTTTAATTAACATAATAAACATAGACGAGTATAAGACGGGTATAATTTGAACAGCAGCAAAAAAAAAAAAAAGACAAGACATCATTTGACAAACATAAAATCCTTAAAAATGAAGTGCATCTATCAACTCTAAAGTTTACATACAAAGTCTACATTTTAAATACATTTGGTGAAGTGCTGCTATATAACATTTCCTAAAACTTGTGTGGAGTTGGAGACATACATACAGTATTTGTCAAGGGCTAGCATAAACATATTTGTCAGCAAAACATTAATTGTCAAAACTACTTAAGAATGTCACATGGTTTTCAGACACCTCTTTGATCATTTGATAATGTTCGGTGTTTTTCTGACCACACACCTGTGTGGTTCCCATCAGCATTTCTCATTCAAGTTGGACTTTTGCACTCAAACCAAAAGGCATTACAATTATTTTTTTTTAACTAAATGTTTGGAATACTGTCACACCTTCAAACCACTGTTGTTTATGGTGCCAGTGAGGCTGTGTTTAGCTGCACAGTAGCGAGAATGTAGCGACTGTCCCAAGAGAGTGATTCAGGAGATTTTACTATCACGCATACAGAGGCTGATAGTCATTCTTCTTGCTTTTGCAGGCAATGACACAGATGCTGAGCATCCCAAACAACTGAAAAAGAGAGAGAAAGTTGCTGAAAATTCACTGTCTGATAAACAAGGATAAAGATGAGGCTAAAATGAGCTGATGTACCTTAATGATGGCAAATCCCAGGATGACCAACATTGCATAACTGAGCACATCCTGAAGCATCTGCTCCAGTTTAGCTTCACATCCCTGTAGGAACAACAGAACAGTTTTTTCCCCCCCCTCACAAAAAACAAATTACATAATTTGAATATGCTTGGGATTATGTTGATCTGAATATAAGTGTTGTAACTAAAAAACTGAACCTATTAAAAATGTATTTTGTTATTTATTGTAGATAGAGCTGAAATAAAACAAAATATACATATTAGACGAAAAACAAATGAAAGCACTAAAATTCCAAAATGTGAAAGAAGAAATAGCAATAAAAATAGTTTAAAATAAAATTAACTGGAAATAAAAAATAAAAGATAATTCAAAATATTAATAAATACTATAATAGCATTTAAATAATCCTAAAATAAAACTGTTCACTGAATAAAATAATGCACAATATCAGATGTCAAGCAGTTTTGCGCTCAAACCTGTGTGTTCAGAAGATCTAGTTGGGTGAGTTGGCCAGTGCATTGTGTAGCATTTGCTTTGCAGCAGGAATGTGGCACAGAGTTGTTATGTTGGCCAAACCATGGCATTGCAGTCCAGTCTGTGATGTTATTCACCCCACAGCACTCCAACTGGAAATGTAAAAGTGAAGATTAATGTAAAAAGATGAAGGGGACAATAAAGAGAATGAGAATCCCTCATGCATCTATTATGCCTGTGCAACCAAAAATGATTGCAATGATATGAATGAATCTTTCAGCCTTACTTGGAATTGCAAGTAATCCACTGCATGGGTTTCACTGTCCACACCGTCATACTTTTGAAAGACGCTGTTCATTGACTTTTCTAGGTCACCCTTAATCTGTATACATCATAAGAAAAAAATGCCAATGTTCATATTTCTACATATCATACATATTATTCATAAGTTATATGAGAATTACTTACTCTTCCCCTGTAGATGAAGCCAAACACAAAAGCGGTCACCTCGGCTGCGAAGATTATCATGATGATGAGAAGAAACTAAATGCAAATTCAGATAAAAGTATTAAATATTTAAACCCTCATCTACACAATGATGAAACCAGTTCTACCCCAGAGGCTTTAAAGTAGGAATAGAAACTACCAATATGAACCCTACATTCTATTTTCGATAAAATAAACTGAAACAAAGGCTTTGGGCACAAAAGGTACACAGACAGATGGCCCATACTTACAAAGCCTAAACCGACTTTGGACTCCCTCAGAGTTGCACAGCAGCCAACGATCCCGATGACAAACATGACCACAGCCACAGCGATTATAATGGCTGCTGGGATGACGGAGTACTTATTAGATACAAAGTCTTCAAAGCTGTTGTAGCTCTTTATCACATAAGAGCCAACATACGCGAGGGCCGCTCCAGCAGCCTGAAGAAAAAACAACAACAGGTGGGTCAAAGACATGATCCTCAGGTCTATTTATTTGTTCCAAAATATATTAAAAATAACTTTGAAAAACTTTATTAAAAGGTAAGTTTAGTTCAAGATGTAAAAAGTCATGTGGGGCAAGTGTTGGGCTAGTTACTCAAAGAATGTAATATATTACTCATTACTAGTTACTCCTTTCAAAAGTAATATTGTTACTTTACTTATTACTTTCTGGCAACAGTAATTAGTTACACTACTAGTTACATTACTTTTTCTTCACGCCCCACAGAAGTTGTAACTGTGTATCTTCCACATAAAATTCTTCTAGAATGTTACGAACAACATATTTCTGCCTCATCATTTGACCAAAATCCACATTGGATCGCAGTCAGAAGTTATTACAAACACTCAGTAGTGACTGATAGTGACATTCAAGTAGAAGTGTTGTATTAATCTCATTAATTGTCATGTGTAGCTTGAAGCTTTCATTATGTATTTTATCAAAACACACAAGTTTGGTTAGGTAGTTAGGTTATAATTAAAAGAGTTTTGATTATATAATGTACCACATGCTGATCAGAGGGGCATGGGTGGGATGTAATGCCAGAGTAAAGTAAAGCCACTATATACACAACAGTGTTCAGATCATCTTTTTTCCTGACAAAATCAATATAACTAAGTATAACTAAGTTACTAGTAACTAGTTACTGCCCAACACTGGTCATTTCATAACAAGTACACTTTGGAATTCTGGGTTATGTATGACTCGCTAGCGCATGATCTGTTTCTTCAGTAGTCAGTCACAATGCACAGTCACGAGACCACGAGTAACCTTCTCCTGCCCTCTAATCTTTCCTGGAATGCTAGTCTTGTGCCTCGGCTTGAGCAGAAGCAGCACAGTAAAACAAAAACCCTTGAGGCATGAAGGTACACATCACAATGGCAATACATCAGCTTTACACAAGACAAAGATGCTACAATAAGAACTTTCAGTTCCAGGTTTTGTTACTTACTGCACTGCTGTTACAGGAAGAAATAAAAAGTCTCACAAAACCACAAGTGCATGATGTGCAGAAAAGGCCAGAACAGCGGGGCCCCTAAGGGCCTTAAACTTTAAAAAAGTTTATCTTGATTTCTTTGAATTTTAGCAACGGCTATATGCACAGGAAAATATTAAATTGGCTGTGCAGAAGACGTCATGGTTTTCTACAGAACTCCCTTTCCTGCCCAATGAAGCCAAAAATGAGTGTGCGGCACTAAGCCAAGTCAGATGACTAGGCCTACATAATGGCACTGACAGTATAGCCATCAACAATCTTCATTTTTTCCACTGAGATCAAGTTAGAAGCGCTGACAGTTACATCAACTCTGATGTAAACAAGTGTGAATACCTTTAAAGGCTGCATTGCAAATGACAATGAAGCTTTCATTTGGTTTTCTTAAGTGTATAAAGAAAGAGCAAACAAATGACTCACTCTAAATTAAATTACATTCTAGAGAAGAGCTCGCTGTCAGAAGCGTGTTACTCTGGCTAAACAATCATTTAGTGTCTGGAGGAGGAGAAACAACTGGATGAATACAAACCATTATGATGCCGAGGACCCTTCTTCCTACAAATACAGTCATCAAACAACAGCAAAACCAACATTTCAGGACAGCATGGGTTTGTAAACCTCTTAGGGTAAATTGATATCTTTAGACCTTTCTATATTTATGAAACAAAAGAAGACAACAGAAATTATGTTAAAAAGAACAACACAAACTTACCCAAAATATTACACTGAGAAATAAAAGAACGGTTTTAGATGTTAGAATTCCGCAATCCATGTCTGCTGCTGAGTGATGGGAGCCCAAGCTGCGAATGTTTTCGGACAGTTTGAGACGTTTTGTTTTCTTTCCTCGTGTTCTTTTTAGTTCAGTCAGTGACAGTCACATGCTCTCTCGACTCACGGGTTTGAAGCGGAAACTCCCAGGTCCTAAATACCGTAGAGTTCTGTGGTCTATATGCAAGCGGTTCACGGTAGAAATGAGTGACGCGTTGCCTAGGGAACGTGATAGACTAGAGCAGAGAGCACTGATCAAAGCTGTTTACTTTCAGCTTTGAGTCCTTTTTATTATGCTAATATTTAAAGTAGTACAACTTTTGACTGCATTTCACTTGATTTTTGTTGTTGTTGTTGTTGAACTGGGACGGATCATCAGCAAAAGTGGGACAGGTCAACTTGAGGTGGTCACGGTGGTTTTTGTAACATGGTAACTGGTTTGTTTATGGTATAAGGTGGCCTAGTTTTAATTTGTTTACACAACAGCTTTGAGGACAGAATTCCTAAGGTATTTGAAACTATAAAGATAGTCAGTATTTAATTTTGCTAAACACAAAGTGTTGTGTATTTGAGCAAACTGAGCATGTTTGATTAAAAAGTAGTAAAATAATTTACACCTATGTAACCCTCAGACACCTCTGAACAAGCAAAACAACCAAAAGGGTCCTTTTAGGTCATTTATCATCCAACTGACATGGCATCAAAGATAAGTTTTCAGCTGTCTAGGAGACACCCTTCTGGTGTAATAACTCCAGAAGAACAAACTGTAGGAAGTAAAATGCTTTTATGAATTATACTAAGATGATTTTAGCATTATTTGAAGTTTTATGTCAGCCACATAAATATGGATGTAATGAGGCTAATAGCCTCAGATCTCAGACAATCCCACCTGACAGCTCTGTTAGCATTTAAGTAAAAAGAAAAAAAAGATAATATATTAAAAATAATTTATCAGTGTTATTGCAGTTATAATTACATTTATTCAACGTGTCAATGTTTTTGTAGGGACATAATTTGCTAAAAGTGAGAAAAAAAGAATATGTTTTAGTTGGCTAAAAATGCATTATTTGTTGAAAAACTCAGCAAAATATTCTATTTATAAATATTGATTAAAATTATATAAAATTTATATATTATATAAAAATATGATCTCACGGAACAATTGCACATAATTATAAATAATGGGTTTAAAAGCATTATACATTATACAAAGTCTAGAAATTGTTCAGTCTTAAAACAGCATGGCACACTGATTCTTCACATTTGCAAATAGAAAACAAATTTTAACCGTATTGATAGAATGCTACGTACAAGCAGTGGTGGACAGTAACGGAGTAGCTTTACTTCGTTACTGTACTTGGGAAAATCCCAGGTATTTTGAGCAGTAGGATTATAAAAAATATGTGCTAATATAAATTTAAATTAAGTAGCCTATATAAAATTGCTAAATAAATCTATCTATCAGTACTTTTTTACTTAAGTACATAAAAAATCGAGTACTTTTGTACTTTCACTCGAGTAAAATTGAAAAAGGAGTACTTTTACTTTTACTGGAGTAATATTTTATTATACGTATCTCTACTTTTACTCAAGTACTTGATTTGTGTACTTCGTCCACCACTGCTCTGCAGAAGTGGCAAGAGAGTACGCTCAATAATCTGGTGGCTATTGAATGCTCCGGGCTGCTGATTCACTATTTTCTGAATCCATCAACATTCCCAGACCTCCCAGGACCAACAGAACAGTAAATAAAATGGCTTCATCAGTTCGCCAAGCTGCAGAGCAATACTATAAAGTAAACACCATTCCAGGTTGTGTAAATCCAGATTCCAAAAACTTCAACTTTCAGGCAAATGTAGATGATGCATCTTGTGAGGGTCCAGTCACCAATCTTAGCTTTGGTGGAATTTTCCAACGATGCACTGCACTGACATCAGATGGAAATGCTATCTGTGATGAAACAGCACAGAAAAACCCAGCTACTGGGGATTATTCTTGCCCTCAGCAGTACAACACCACCCTATTACGCTCTGAGACAGTAGAACGAGGTTATAATCATTATGAATGCCACAGCCACTGCCGCAAATGTGGTTTCTTATGGTTGCGTACTTGTTGTGACCAAACATGTGGTGATGCTTACCGTGTCCGTCGTGCAAAAGTTGAAACTTACTGGTGTTCCACAACTCAGAAGACCCCCGAGTACTCTGGATACCTTTTTGGAGGTCTATTTGGACCAGGCATGCAAAACCCACTGACCAAATCTAATAGCTGTCCTCCAAACTACTTTACCCAACACTTTTTGTCTAATGGCATGATGGTTTGTCTGAGCAATGATTATGAGGCTGGAACAAGATTCTCTGTGCCTTTTGCTGGTTTCTTCAGCTGTCAATCTGGCAACCCTCTTGCAAAGGGTCAAAATCGCTGTCCACCTCAGTTCAGCCAACATCTTGCTTCCATTAGTGATGGTTGTCAGATATTGTACTGTGTCCAGTCTGGTGTGTTCACTGGTGGTCAGTAAAAGCCTATCCGCCTCCCACCATTCACAAGACCACCAATGGTCAGCATGATTGCAACAAACACAGTAGCTGTAATGACAGAAGGTGATCGTTCTTGGGTGAGAGTTGGAGAAACTAAGATGTGGAGACTGGCAAAGCCTGGTGAAATTAATCAAATGGCATCAATGTTTGACACATCATCTTCTCAGATGTCTGGAGGAGAGAAGGCTGGTGTAGCCATTGGTGTAATGGTTCTGGTTGCTCTTGTGGTTGCAGGAACGGTGTTTATAAGAAAAGGAGACATCACATATTGATCTCTTGGCTAAGTACATAGAATACAAACCTCATAGCTAAATGGTTTGCAATGCTGTGGAAAATTATTGTATATTGTAATGTTGTGAATTTAATATTATTTGTTATTTAAGATGTATTATTTGTTAAAAAAACAAAATCCAGTTCACTGTATATGCATTTCTGTGTCTACTTACTTAGGCATAAAACTGTGCCACCACATGATAATAAGTGACGATGAAAAACAAACCCGTTAGGTTTTCATCTTATCATCTACACCCACAGCAATTTTTTAATGTTTCTCATTTTGAAGATGTGAAAAGGCCATACTGTTCAGGAAGCAGCATAGAATCTCATTTCCCCTTGTTCAAAAACAAAATCTCAACCCCTCCTATATCATCAAAACAAAAAGTATAGGACATTATGAAGACCCAGAAAATAAGTGGAATTACATAGATAAATTTACCAAAGAATAGGCCATAATGCACAACAAAAATATTTGTTTCATTCAGTCCATAAAACTCCTTCTTCTAAACGTTTATACACAGGTTGAAGGTTCTTTTGTCTGTTCATGTCTTCAGGGTAGCAAATCCATGAAGAGGAAGTTCATAGTCTCATGACTTTATTTTCTGACGCATGTGAAACACAGAAGTGGCTTTAATGAGGAACTCACCAAATTCTAAAATGTTTCAGATATAATTTACTGAAGGTCACATTACTGCAAGGTGGTGTGAAAGACGCACCTGCTGATCATGGAGTCTAGAGCATTTTGTCTGCTGATGCTCTGCTGTTTTATCAATGTCTGCAAGCTTCATCCTCTCATTCATCCCAGTAATGGACTTCGTTTGTGCCGCATAAACTCAAGTTTAGCAGCGCTGGAGGTTCTGCCAGGAGGAGGCTGGGATAACCTGCGCAACATAGACATGGGCCGGGTGATGAATCTGAGCTATTCCCAATGTCAGACCACAGAAGACGGAGTCTATCTCATTCCAGATGAAGTCTTTGTCATTCCACAGAAAGTGAGCGGAGTGGAAACAAACTCGGAGATCATAATGTCATGGCTGGAACAAAAAAGCTCAACTTCAAGTTCCATCAATGCAGATGTTTCCTTTTATTCGGTGCTCAATGCAAAATTCTCCACAGAAAACCAGCGTATGAAAACCCACCAAGTGAAGGAGAGTTCTGTAACAGCACGAGTTCAAGTAAGTACAAAAGTAAAAATAGGAAATGTCATATTGAGAGTTCTATGCACTATATGGACAAGCAGATTGAATATATAATTTTCAAGTATTTCTATGTAAATAAGGAAAAATATAATTTTGAATAACCTACACTATGGCATCATAAAAATAGAAATATCAATTCTAATATCAAAATAAATAAAACAAATTTTTTTATGAGCATCTAAAATAATAATAATGATAATAAACAAACAATTATCATTTAAAACAAATGATGGAAAATTGTCAGTTGCTGTAATTACTGCCAATATTTGGTTCATTTTCTCATATTATCAAAACATTGGTTCTCAGGTCCGTAACCATCTATACACAGTAAAGGCATATCCTGACTTCATTCTGGACACCCGCTTTGCTCGACAGGCAGAGGAAATCGCAGATGCTATTGAAAACAATCAAACTCGTCAAGCAAATTACCTGTCAGAGAAACTCATACTCGATTTTGGCACCCATGTCATCACAAGTGTTGAAGCTGGTGCCACTTTGGTGCAAGAGGACTATTTAAAAATGTCTTATATCTCTAACAGTCAGTCAGATGTGTCTTCTGTTACTGCATCAGCAGGATTTAACTTTTTTGACAAGGTTAAATTTGATATTGGTGCCAGTACATCCCATGGAACCTCTGAAACCAGTGGTTATCAGGGTAACATCACATATTCCTTAATCCAGAGCCATGGAGGGGCTTTATTCTACCCAGGCATCACTCTGCAGAAGTGGCAAGAGAGTACGCTCAATAATCTGGTGGCTATTGACCGCTCCGGGCTGCCGATTCACTATTTTCTGAATCCATCAACATTCCCAGACCTCCCAGAACCAACAGTAAATAAAATGGCTTCATCAGTTCGCCAAGCTGCAGAGCAATACTATAAAGTAAACACCATTCCAGGTTGTGTAAATCCAGATTCCAAAAACTTCAACTTTCAGGCAAATGTAGATGATGCATCTTGTGAGGGTCCAGTCACCAATCTTAGCTTTGGTGGAATTTTCCAACGATGCACTGCACTGACATCAGTTGGAAATGCTATCTGTGATGAAACAGCACAGAAAAACCCAGCTACTGGGGATTATTCTTGCCCTCAGCAGTACAACACCACCCTATTACGCTCTGAGACAGTAGAACGAGGTTATAATCATTATGAATGCCACAGCCACTGCCGCAAATGTGGTTTCTTATGGTTGCGTACTTGTTGTGACCAAACATGTGGTGATGCTTACCGTGTCCGTCGTGCAAAAGTTGAAACTTACTGGTGTTCCACAACTCAGAAGACCCCCGAGTACTCTGGATACCTTTTTGGAGGTCTATTTGGACCAGGCATGCAAAACCCACTAACCAAATCTAATAGCTGTCCTCCGAACTACTTTACCCAACACTTTTTGTCTAATGGCATGATGGTTTGTCTGAGCAATGATTATGAGGCTGGAACAAGATTCTCTGTGCCTTTTGCTGGTTTCTTCAGCTGTCAATCTGGCAACCCTCTTGCAAAGGGTCAAAATCGCTGTCCACCTCAGTTCAGCCAACATCTTGCTTCCATTAGTGATGGTTGTCAGATATTGTACTGTGTCCAGTCTGGTGTGTTCACTGGTGGTCAGTTAAAGCCTATCCGCCTCCCACCATTCACAAGACCACCAATGGTCAGCATGATTGCAACAAACACAGTAGCTGTAATGACAGAAGGTGATCGTTCTTGGGTGAGAGTTGGAGAAACTAAGATGTGGAGACTGGCAAAGCCTGGTGAAATTAATCAAATGGCATCAATGTTTGACACATCATCTTCTCAGATGTCTGGAGGAGAGAAGGCTGGTGTAGCCATTGGTGTAATGGTTCTGGTTGCTCTTGTGGTTGCAGGAACGGTGTTTATAACGAAAAGAAGAAAGAGGTTTTCTGCCACCAGGTTGAGCAGAGGGTATGAAGATATCCATGGTGAGGGTGAAAACGAGAGCAGTGTAGAGATTCAGAGAGAACAACCAAATGAGAATGTTAATGAAAACTCCACTCAACCCCTACTATCATAATCTTTTTAAGATGACTGTTCAGAGATTTACAGTTAAGCGTTATAATGTTATAATGAACATGATTAGTCATATAAATAGTTGGCAGCAGCAGTAACATTCTTTAAGGCAACTTTTTACATTTGTTTTACAACTAACAAAAGTCTGATGAAGAGCCTGCGTGCTCGAAACGTCATACGCTATGCGAAAGTTTTTCAAATAAATTTTTGATACTTTTGGAGCTTTGGTGTTGCCGACTTTATATTTAATTTCTCCACTTGTTTTTTAGTCGAGCACCCATTTGAGGTTGATGTTTGCATTTTTTACAACTAACAATCCAAGCATTGGAATAAACCTAAAATATTTATATTTTTTTTAACTGAATGTCATAAAACATTATACAAAAGAAAAAATATATTAAAAAGTGTGAGGAAAGACCGTACCGTAACTGTTTCAAAAGTCTATTTTACAGATTGTTGTGAAATAAGAATACTCTGAAATGAATTACTTTTAGAGCAGCTGAGGAAAAATACATAAGGGCTTTGTATTCAACATGATTTTCTACTGTTTTATTATTTTTACTGGTATATGTGTATGTCTCGCTTTTTGTGCTTTTGTGACTAATAAATAGTTCTTAAAGAAAGACTGAGCAAATGTCATTAACTTCAGCATGCAATATGATCACGAACCTGACTTAGATTGTGAATAAATATAAGGACATGAAATCTGAGTTTAAATTACTTTTACATTATAATTGTACTTGTTGCTATATGGTGATTGTGATGTATTATTTTTCTTAGTAGAAGCTATAAGACAAACAGTGTAACAACATTAGTAGCCTATATCATTATCACTCTCCAAATCTAAGTTACTTTCATTAACTTAGTTAAAGTTACTTTAAGTTCTTTCATACTCAAGATGGCGCCAACTATCAGCTCTAACTTGCTTTTGCATGACATGAAAGCATAATGATAGCATTGCTATGTAAAATAAGGTTTGCCCAGAGTATTCAGTTAAACGGTGTTACTCTGGACAACAGTCATTATTCAAAGACGTCATGTCTTCTAAGTCTCATTTCACCTCACCCACACACAAAAAATAACAGGAATTAGGAAAGTCAATCATCTACCTGGTCATACCAAATACAGTATAGACCTATAGCTAAATATAACTACTTCCATTTAACAAGTTACTGTACCGACTTCTAGTTTCATCTCAACTTCTTGTAAGTCACAACACACAGTGAACAACAAAACCAGTGGGTAGAAATTAACAGTGGACCTAATAGGCTACATATGACCCCACAAAAAATAATAATAAATTGTTATAAATATTATTAAACATCAAATTATTATTATTATTATTGTTATTATAGAGTCACATGATCACCCTTTATGTGATATGTTACAGATCTGGACAGGATATCTCTCATGCGAAAGAAAAGTTTAAAAATGATCATTGTGGGAAAACGTACAGGCTACTTAGGCACACAATAATATGTAATTTTTTTAAATAGGAATCGAATCCAGATCAGTCCAACCAACTGGTTGTCACTATTCCACTTACATTATGGCTATTTAAATAGAGAGACGGATGAATTTAAACCATTAACTTTGTACACAGCAAGCATGGCTAAATAGCGTAAGCTTTGTTTGTAGGCGCGCTTTGTAAATCAGGCGCGGTTCTCTATAGCGCTAGTCCTTCAGAAAAACACGCCGCGACAATCTCTGAATTCTACAATCAAACATTCCATTGTCGAGTAAAAGTAACTTACATGTTACGGACCTTCGACCGTCTCTGATTCTCTGCGCAACACTCCAATCCGTTCCTCAATGAATCAGTGTTTTTGAACAAACTGATTAGTTGACTCACTCATAATAACCAAACAAAAAAAAACTTGACGACACCTACTGGCGTAATGTAACCTCACTGACTGAAAAATCCCATCCAACACCTTTCTGTTTGACATGAAATTAATTTAATTAATCGTTATATATTTTTTTCTGGCAATAACATGGACTGTTGTAATGTTAAATTTGGCATTTTCCTCCATAAATGTTCTATACAACAATAATAATAATAATAATAATAATAATAATAATAATAATAATAATAATAATAATATTTTATATAAAAAACATATATGTTGGATATATGTTCCTATATATCCAAAATCTTCTGACCAACACTTTCCCATGCAATGTGCTAATGAGTATGATTTTAATTTCATGATATCCATTGTCTTACATGCAATTGCAAGTGAAAAGAAAATGTGTGCTACATTTTGTCATCCACATGTCCTGTTTGATTAATCTTAACCTTGCACTTCACCCTCAATTCCCTCATACAAAGTCTCACGAAAAGAACCCTCCCCCACTGCACAGCTGGTATTCACAAAAAAAAAAAAAATCTAAATCAAAACAAAACCAGTCAGCGGATGAAATCTGTCCAGCACAGAAGAAAGGAAGACACTCCCTTCCACATGACACAATGCCATAGACTCAGGCTTTCACACAGTGCTCCTTTTCAGCATTAGCATTCCAGAAAGTGACTCTACAGCAAAAACATTTCATGAAGAAACTGTAATTTGGAAAGAAGAACAGAGAAAAGGATTTTTCTGAAGTAGGTCAATATGGTGGTGTAACACAGCTGGAATAGACTGTTGCATGAAAGCTACTCTCGGTGGGTAAAACTGATATTTTTTGAACAGATTAGATATTTTAGCAGATTTCAGTGCCATAAAAAATACACTGCACTCTGGAGTCTGGACTTTCATTATGTAATTTTACAATAATATTCTTACTTTGTTTGTTTTTTTACTTTGCATGTATATTTCCTCATGAATGTTTTTCCATCTGAGAAATAATGAAATATTACATTTGAACCCTCTGCATTTTCCCTTTAGAAATCATCATGGAGACAAATCATTGTGTTTTCCACGTGTTTCTCTGCATTTCTTTGATCTTGACACACTGGCACAATAGTTCAGCTTGCCACACAGGCTCTCAGGTAGAATGTGAGAAAGCCCCATTTGTGCCTGGTTACAACCTGGTGGGCGAAGGCTTTGATGTTGTCAGGATGCGCCGTAAAGGTGCATTTTTGATTGATGTCAAGTCACACATGGATAATGACACTTGTACCGTTTGCAAGAACCGCTTTCAGGGAGGGCAGATGCAGAAACTTCCCTCAGCTGTGCGGGACTGGCGTCCATTCAGCCGCTGCAGCAAACAGCTTTCCAGTGCTCTTCATCATTCTGTTGACTCCCTAATGAAGAGTTCAACATCACTCATCAATAACAACTGGGAAATGGATCTTAGCCTGGATGACATAGGAAAAGCAATTTTTGGAGGGAGCCATTCAGATATTGCCAAATTTGCCCAATCTCAGAATGCAATGGATAAGGCAACATTTGCCCTCCATGAAATCAGCTGCACATATTATAGGTAATTCCATATGAATTTATGACTAATTTTGCATTGTATTTATAACGATTTTTTTGTTGTAACTTCTCCAAAGAATGATGACAATCTGTCTCTCAATATCTCTGAACATGCATACAATGTTGTTAGATGATTTGATAACTGAGAAAGCACATACAATTAATGATTTTTATCTTGCTATATACTTTGCATTTATTTAGTGGTCTCATGTATCTCATCCACGGTGGGCGAAATTAAATCTAAGAACTCCTAAATAACATCTAAATTAGTCTGTTAAAGGGATAGTTCACCCAAAAACGAAAATTTGATGTTTATCTGCTTACCCCCAGGGCATCCAAGATGTAGGTGACTTTGTTTAGAACACAATGAAGATTTTTAACTCAAACCGTTGCAGTCTGTCAGTCATATAATGGAAGTGAATGGCAATCACAGCTTTGAGAGTCAAAAAAACATACACAAACAAAACCAAATTAAACCCTGCGGCTCGTGACGATATTGATGTGTAAAGACACGAAACGATCAGTCTGTGCAAGAAACTGAACAGTATTTATATCGTTTTTTTTACCTCTGATTCACCGCAATGTCCGAACTGTCCTGAGTGTGTTCTCAACAGCCTGCGCATGACGTGTCTTCTTCTTCTTCTTGCTTTACGGCGGATCGCAGACTTATAAGTGCATTAACGCCACCTATCTCTCAAGTGGGCCATTGACACTCCTAATTGAGATTGTAGATAGAGTGTCAATGGTCCATTTGAGAGATAGGTGGTGGTAACAATCCAAATTTTTGGGTGAACTATCCCTTTAAGGCTAATGCCTCCGGTAAGGTTTAAGATGTCAAAATGACTCGATTCAAATGATATATCAAATAACTGAATCCATTTAGGCAATGGCAACAATACACTAGACACTTATCTGGACACTTGTAACTATTTTGATTTTTTTAAAAATGCAAAAAAAAAAAAAATCTTCTAAACCAGTGGTTCCCAACATTTTTTCCAGGGGACACCTATTTTATTCTTTAGCAACCCCCAGGTTGGGAACCACTGTTCTAAACCATGTCTTTAACCAAATACACTTTGAAACTATAATGTTTTATATTTTAGAACTAGTGGGGTGGATTTTGACAGACGAGCAGAGCCAAAGCACAACCAAAACAAAGTTATTCCGCAAGATGCATGTAGTTTTCTTTTTTAAGCCAGGCTAGAGGGCCCAAAGTTAGGCCTACATAATGTAGCTCTACAGCTGAATGTTATTGCTTTGATAACAAAATATCAGAGCAGGTGGCAACTACAAGCAATTGATGTTAACATTTTTCAAAAGAATCAATTCCTTAGGGTTTGTGTTCTATAATGATTATTCATATGAAATTCATACATGTTGAATCCAAAGAGACACACAAAACAGATGCTCAATTGCAGTTTACCTTATTTTACCTATTAAAAAAAGAGTTATAATTTTACATGTAAGTTCATTCTTGTAGGCTATTCAGAGACAGTCACATATTTCAAGGCTCATAAGATCCTAATGTAGTTAGGACCTCCTAATATAAACAATATTTAAAAGGAAGCTCCAGTGCAGGTAATTTAATATCAGTGCATCTTTTCATTGTGAGACTTAGGATTGCGTATTATGAGGAAGAGACTTTATCTCAAAGATGCTTCGATTAGCAGGTAATCCTCATCTGACCAAACAATTTAGTCCTAAAACACTTGAAAAGTCAGCCAAATCACAATTTTATCTGAAAAACAAACCCAGAGCATGCTTTAATAAGTACTTTCTTATCACGTCCTTGACAAAATTACTGTCAAAAACACTGAAAAATAAAACATGAGGCAAATTACAGTTTTATTTAGAAACCACAACTAGAATCTGCTGACAGATGACTTTTTGTTGATCATTTGCAGTTACAGAGTCACAGACCACCCAGAGCTCAGCACTGAATTCTCAAAACATCTCCAGCGACTTCCGACACAATATGATGAGGAATCAAAATCCCTGTACCGAAGGACTATAGATACTTATGGCACTCACTACATACGACAAGTTCATCTGGGAGGGCGAGTGAGGCGGGTCACAGCTTTTCGAACTTGTCTTGCAACCCTGAAAGGCTTCTCTGAGACTGATATCAAGAACTGCCTAAACATTGAGTTAAAGATGACTCTGGGGTTCCTGCCAGCTAAT